TATCTGATACGATGGTTGGAGAGTGGTATATGCATACTAATTTTTATTTTTTAACGGGTATATGCGCACTAATTGCATATCAGAAAAGTAATGGTGACAGTTTAATTCTAAATGTGGGGAGGTCTCAAATTTAATGGAAAGGTGCAAATAAGGATTAATCATCACTTCATATTACTATTTAAATTGAAGTAATTTTGTTTACATTTTTCACCCTCATTTAAAGCAAAGCAAATAGTTGGGCTGGTTTAGGACTTTGAAGGGCAATATTAAGAATGGACTTAATTAGGGCTGGTTTTTTATATATATATAATAACTTCACAGATAGCTAAAAATTGCAACTGTTTTGATCCTTTACCATAAATGTAATCTCACCAATATAGTTGTGTTGTAGAGTTTTTGAACACAATTATATATGTATTTAACACTTTTATATCTATCTATTTCAGCCAAATTTAATGTGTTGAAAAACAAAACATTAAATTTTAACATATACTTCTACCTATTTGTTTCTTGATAATATTGTTTAATATCATGATTTGTTTTAATTACCTTTTCTAAAAAAAATAAATAAATAAATAAAATAAAATCCCAAGCATGAAACACATAATCACAAAAAGCTGATAGCAACCTCAATTTCCCAAACCAAAGAAAATTATCAAAATAGAAAAGAAATACACAAGTCCATGAACTAATGAACGCCAATCTTTCTTTGGAAAACTCACTTGGTTTTCAGTGATCGTGTTATCGACTTACAACAAAATCAAATAAAAAACTCTTAAACAAAATATACAGAGTTTTTAGCAAATATTTGAGGGTGAGAGGATTACTGAGCTTGAACAAATTCAATAGTTATAATATGAGAGAGAGAGTCATTGATGGGTTTGGTTTTACCTATGAGAAGAGGCCCAGAGAGTACGAAATTTTGAGTGTGTGAAAAGCAGTGGCAAAGTCAGGATTTCAATTCAGGAGGGATGAAGTATAAAAAACACATTTATTTCCCCTTCAAATCATGGGTCAAAGAAGAAGAAAAAAAAATCATTTTAAAATAATATAATAATCAATTAGTAGTATAACAAAAATAAATAATTGACCAATTTTAACTTACAAAATTATTCGGTAATATTTTAGTTCAATACAACAGGTCTTTGCATGAAATTACAGTCATTGACTACATAAAATTTAAGCTTAGTGAAAAAACAAAGTTACAACATACTACAAGTGCAAAATCTAAGGAAAAAATAAAAATAAAAATAAAAATAAATAAATAAATTTTGCCCCATATATATAGATGGTGGAGCCAGGTCATGGGGGCATGTGCCTCCTCTGCGCCTTAATTGGCTCTGCCCACAAGAGTGAGTTTGAACACTTAAACTTTGTGGGTATGAATTTATATATAGAGTTTTTAGCAATTAGTATTTTGTAGGATATTATTATGATGTTTACAAAACTATAGGTGTGAAATGAAAGTTAAAAAAATTCAATGTGTGCGATGGCCCGAGAGAGCCCAGGGTGCGTAAGTCTGTCCTCGGCTACTTCCTTCGGGAGAATTATACTTACAGTCTCTTTAGTTATGATTTATTTTACTTACTAGGCACGGAGGGCAATGGATGCTGAAATTTTTTCTTATTGTATTTTTGACCTCTAAATTTATTCTTTTTGCATTAATATTCATAAAATTATGAAGTTACCCTCACTAAAATTATGAAAATGCTCCACTGAAATTATGAAAAAACCCCTCTATATAAATTCGCCCCCTCATATAAATTCCGAGATCCGCCGTCCTGATACTTACCTCACCTGTGTTTTAAATAATTATAATTCTCTTTATTCTAGTTACATGTATAACAAACTGACTCCTACTATTATTTTCACTATGGTTCAAAGAAAGTCAATGTTGCCCTTTAAATTTATGTAAAAACACTTTTGTCCAATACTTATTGTGTAAAACGACAATAATACCCCTAACTAAAAAAAAATAGAGTAACGAAAATGCGATGGTAGGATATATATATATATTTTTGCTCAAGAATCATTAAACCAAAGTGCCTTCGTAGAAATTTAAAGGACATATTTGTCAAAGAAGTTGAAAAACATGTCACATCAATATTGACCATCTCTTACTATAATTAGTGAAAGTAACGGCAGAAGACCATTTGATTCGCATGTATATATAACTAGAATGAAATTAATTATAACTATCCAAAATACAGGGAATTAGTGTAATAAATCTTAACTAAAGGAGTGATAAGTATAATTTACCTTTACTTGATGTTTTTTACAACTTGATTTAAGTAGATGTTATTTTCTTGATTTTCTTCTTTAATTTCTCTAACAAACTTGTACGCATAGTTGATTTATATATAGATGAAAACACCCATATCAAAAATTCCATTGTTAGTTTTCTCCGTGCCTGGTCTAAAACAACACCTTGATAGTTGTTTCCACTCATCAATGGACTTTAAATCGTTAGGAAAACTGATGAGACCAAATTTGATTACCTACTTTCAAATTTCAATTGACAGGATCTGACAAAATAATTTTAGATGATCTATCAAAAATTTAGATGACATTTATCATGCTTTTTATGCTTTTTTCTTTCTTTTATTTATAACAAAGAGCTACATTTTCAAGCTTTTAAAAAAATTTTAATCGAAACTACTTTTGCATAATCATATAAGAAAATGATATTTTAGGTGACTTTGGAAACTAGTTAAAGTTTCAATGGACTGAGTCATTTAGTTTAACAAAAAAAAAAAAAAAAAGAAAGAAATTATTAAAAGATATGTAATATTTTAAGAGAGAGAGAGACTTTTATTAAAATAATTGGTTACAATTAAGTTGATTAGTCATTTTTATCATTTTCTATTAGAATTTTTTTTTTTTCAAATGGTGAGAATTTTAGATTCATTGATGGTTGCTATGTTAAAATATTAAATGACATGGGAGATTGGTGATTTATTTTTTTTCAAAGTTGGTATTCACACACTCCTTTCAAGGAATTGTTTACACTTAGTACGCATTGATCTTAAGACTAAATACTTTATGAAGTACCGGGACTCAAGTCTTTTCCAACTAGGCCAACCTTAGCATTGAGACTGGTGAATTTGGATTAAGCGTGGCAACGAATAGATCAAGTGCAGCTTGTTGTATATTAACACATTCTTTATGCTATGATAGAGATGGTTATGGTTCATTTTATCAATTGTATTACAGTTATAGCGATTATGTAAGTTAAGGTATTTTAACAAATTCTTATTGTTGCTTCTTGTAAGTTTGAAAATTAAGGACAATATTTATAGAAAATATGCAACGGTAGTGATCTCTTGCTCATTTGTTACTCCTGATCATGAAAATTATCCACCAAACATGATGACAGTTATATATGAATTTTTTTTTTTTTTTTTTAGGTAACTATCTTGTTAGATTCGAATCATATCTAACAATCTATCATGTTTGTCGTGAATAAATTACATGCTCATTGGCGAGCAAATTACCCTAACACGCCTTATTAGTCAAGAAGTTGCGTAGCAAAGTCCTTTAGTAGGTGGGTAAAAGGTACGGGTCTTAAATTGAGAGAGAGATTATTGTAGGAATATTGATAAAGATTGTCCCCTGGTTTAATATTGCAAAGAATATTTTTGAAATATTTTTCGAAAAGTAAGGACTCCTGAATCACACAAATTAAATTTTAAGGGACCTGGTGCACAAAAATTACAATAAAGGGGTTTTTTTTTTTTTTTTTTTTTTTTTTTTTTTAACACTTAAGCCAATATTCCTTGTTGCAAACATCGAGGATTTTCAAAATATATATGCCACCATACGATTATAAGAGGCTAGAGCTCTTGTAGAGGGTGACCGGAATGTTGAATTAATAGTGATGGCTAACAGTCACTAATAAGGTATCCATCCATTAATTAGTGACAATGTATTGGGCTGCAGTTTCCATTTTATATTGCATTGTATGGGCCTAACTCAACCCAAATCCCTTAGTCCTGTGTGGTTTCCTCAACTCTTTTTGCTTTGGGTCCTTGTGCCTTGTTCGGCTGGTTTAGCCCTTTACAGCCTTTTCGTACATATTACTGTACTTCTTATTAATAAAAATTGCTTGAAATTCCATGGAAAAAAAAAAAAAAAAAATCCAAAATATAACATAAGATCGAATAATAGAAATCCCAGATAATTTGATTGGGGAACAAAATTCTTCATTAGATTCAGTAATTTTGTTCATACAATTAAGTAGATCGCCAAGGAAAAATGAAAGAAGCTATTGTCTGTATTTGCCAACTTGGCATGATCGATATATATATTATATAGTAATATATAATTATGCTATCTCAGGCCAACAATTTTATTCTACAAAGGAAACCTTTCTCCCCCAGAATTTCCAACGACCAATCAAACCCTGCATGTCACAAAATTGAGAGGGAGAGAAAAAGTCAATTTGAGTCATATATATATATATATATATATATATATATATATATATATTGTAAAATGAAGTGTGTGTTTGTGTGTGAGAGAGAGAGATATAAGTTACTTTGTGCAATCTGTGTTGAAGTCAATGGGTACAGAGAGAGTGATGTTGCAAAGCTGAGGAAGCTGCTTAGCTTTGTCAGGGTTAACCCCAACAGCTGGTGCAACTTTTTTGAAGCACTCACACACTGCTTTTCGATCATCTCTGTTAGTAACCAACTGATTCAGAGACTGAGCACTCTGGCAACATGGAACCGAGATGGGAAAAAAACCCACCAAGTAACCCTGACATGGCAACAGCTTCGATACGGCGTCTTGGCACGTGATGCCATTAACCACAGGGCTTGTAGCCATAGCCAAAACCATCAAGCCCAATACAAACAATGAGGAACTCATCATCTTCTTCTCCATATCTCTCTCTCACTTGATCAATATATATTACAACTATATATATATATATATGTTTTGCTAGAAATGCTTCTCTGGTATGAAGTTGATGGCAGTGTGCACACACTATTTATGGTACAATGGCTGGGGGAGCAGGGGTGGTAAATCTTCTACTAAGTGCGTGTTAAGGAAAGGAAATAAAAACGGATAAGAGGATTTGATTGTCTAATCACATTTATTGGTTGTGCGTTACTTTTTTGACTAAGGTGTGCCCCACCATTGACTCCAACTGAGGATGTTTTCAATTTTTTTTTTTTTTTTTTTTTTTTTTTTTTTTTTTTTTGGGCAATTGTGAATTTGAAAACATATTTATTGCACGGGAAAAGTCTGGAAAATTATTTAGTGCCAATGGGCTTCTTTAAACAACCCCTATCCAAATTAGTGTGGAAAATTGTTGTGTGGCAAGAGATCCGTATATTATTTATTTTTATTTATTTATTTATTGATAAGATATTTGCACGGTTTGTTTTTAGGAATTCAAACTCTCATCACTTTTTTTGAAAGGTAGAAGTGATATCATTAGACTGCACAACTGGCAAATGCCTATATTATTGCAGTATATTTTTAATTGGTAAATAATCCACACTCTCCAACTACCACTCGTGCTAGTTATGTTTGTTGATCGAATATGCATATTAATTGCATATAATATAAATGGAGGCAATTAAAAGGAGATTTGGAGGGATAATTTATTCCTCCCAACCTCTCATTTGTTTTTCTTCTAAAATTAGGAAGATTTGAAAAAAGAAAAAAAAAAAAAAAAAAAAAAAGTTATATTTTGGTGACCAAAATTAAACATAATTGCTATATAGTGACCTTAAAGTCAAGAAAAGGTGAATAGTGACCAATCTTGAAACTTATTTAATATTAACTGACCATTTAAGAATAATTTGGTCAAAAACACTTAAAAGTTTAATAAACATTTTAAAAATAAATTTTAAATGACAAAATTGCCTTCCAATATAAATAATAAGTCATTAAATTCATCCTCCTTCTACTCTCTCTCTCTCTCTCTCTCTAATCCAACGTTTTCTTTTTTTCCTTTTTAGTCTATAATTTACCAATTTAAAAAATTAAAATTTCTTTATCAACATTATCTTTTTTTCACCCTTTATCTATTTTTCAAGGCTCTCAACCATCTAATATTTTCCTTTTTAGTTTACAATTTACCAATTTAAAAAATTAAAATTTCTTTATCAACATTATCTCTTTTCCATCCTTTATTTATTTTTCAAGACTTTCCAGCATGAATGCTTTACAATGGCAAATCATACTTTTGAAACACCCTTTAACAGTTAATAAAATTATGAAATTAATCAACAATAATCATTATTTCTTGAACTATAACTAAGTAGTATCAAAATTTTCTAAAAATTACAATCTTATATCTGAAGGAAAATCTCTCAGACAAATCAACTCGTAAAGTATAATAACTATACTTTGAAAATAATGAATAAGAAGAAAATTTACAATTTTCTCGTCATGTCTCTTAGAATCTTGAAGAAAATGATATATATTATCCATCATCAGTTCTCTCCCATCTTGATCTTCTCTTTAGAGACTCACCCTAATAATCGTCTTTTTGTTAGTCAATTTAAGTAAGTATTTATTTAGGTTAATGTAGAGGGTAAATTTGTTTACTTATATAATAATATATTATAAGAAGGCTATTTAGGTAATAAACCATCAAATGGTCACTTAATATCAATTAAGTTTCAAAATTAGTCACTATTCACCTTTTCTTGACTTTAAAGTCACTATATAACAATTATATTTAATTTTGGTCACCAAAATATAATTTTTCCAAAAAAAAATTATAACAATTTAAGTAACATTTTAATGAAGAAAATTTTAAACATATATGAGTCTCACGTTTACACTCAGAAACCATAGTAAATTAATTAAAGTAATTTTTTTTCTTGTCTCTACTTTACATTTTTTAAACAAGAATAATATATTCTTTTTCTTCTTTTTTTTTTCCTTTAAACATGTACAAGTGAGTCTTTCATTTCTTTTTTACTATCCTAACTAATATTATCATTTATTTATTTTTTTCCTCTTATTTATCCATGAAATAGTGTACCTCAGATTCTAACCAGTAATCATAAGTCCACCCAAATACATAGAGTACTGATATGCATAGTAAAAGCTTTAATCGAATGGCAGGATTCAATAAACAAACAAATTCTAACTCATATCATCCAATGGACGGTAAGTTTTCACTATGCTAATCATTTTTTAAATTACACTAGTATAGCGTGATATATTTGCGTAGACTATTGAATAAATATTTGTCTTCGTTTCTTTTAACCATGAATTGGTCAATATATGTTGAATTTTTTCCTTTAGTGAATGATTACAGGAAGATCTTGTCACACCTCATATTCAAATAAAAAAATAATCTAGCATATATGAATTGAGTATTACTATCATTTAATGCCTTAATTTTTGAGTCAGATCAGTAGCATTTGCCTATTACGATACGACAAAAACGTTAAACGACCAATTCGTAGCAATCATAGTGGGATATACTCCGATCATCCGGGACAAAAACAAAGAGACCCTTCGTCTTGCTCCGACTTCTGTTGTTATGTGTGTTTAGCTTTCAAACTTTGTTACCATCGAATTTTTGTCCGTATCAATCCTCCAAGAACCTTGGAATCTCCGGCGGCCAAATGCACTTCAAAATGTTCCAAACCCAGCATTGCTCGTCTCTGTTATCTTTCTTCTTTATCCGGGGTATTCAAGGGTTTGATTTAGATATCAAAAACAACCACTACAATCCACCTACACACTAATGGCTGCAGTAAGTGTTCTTCTTCTTACTTCATCTGATTTGATGTTCTATGGAATTGGGTTTTCCTTTCTAGTGTTTCATTTGATGTAATTTGATTTTTAATATGGCTTTTCTTAGAGGTATATATATTTTGCTTTATATTTTGGGGCATTTCATTTTTGGGTTCTTTTAGGGTTTATTTTTGGAGCAGTGAGATTGTTTAGCTGACTCATATTGCTTTTTTGGATTTCTGGTCTATAGCACTTATTTGGTCTGTTCAGATTAGTGTTTATAATGTTTGATGAACACATTTCTTCACTTGTGTGTGTATATTTTGTTATGTGTATGTACATGTCTAATGTGTTCATGTAATAGATAATATTTCATTTAGCACAATAGTACAATGCAGCCCAAGTTTCAAGAGGAAGTCATAATAAACTTGAACGCCCTGAGTTTGACTCTCACAGGGCGCAAAAAACTTCGAGGTTTAAATGATATGTGCAGTTTGCGAGCTGGACCTACCAAACCCTACCACTTGCATGCCAATTGATCCATATATTGTAACTGCATCTATGAATTTAGTAAAAATGTTTTTACTGATTATGGGGTGCACTTGGGTTATTTAGATAAGGTTTGATTTGTAAAGTTCGATAAATTTGCTACCTTTTGTTAGGATTTTGTGTCATTTTGTTATACCTTGATGCGAATTGCAAGTCCATGACATGTGAGTTCGTGACTTTTCTTGAACATGAGCAACACCTTTCCTTGAACTTTGCAAGGCGCCAAAAGCTTTCTTCTAACATAACATTCAAATTATGTGCGTCTTTGTGATAGTCGTGGTATCACGCATTTATCACATGCTTCTTGATATCAATTTTATGGGTCATTGTCTGGTGCGACGGTAAAAACTTGCATCATCCCAGCACCCTCGAATAATAGGGGCCACAATGATTTTTGACCCTTTTTTTCCTTTATGTCAATTTCGTTTTTCGGAATTTTATGGAAGCTTTTTGTTATTTCAGAATTGATCACTTGATCTTCTTAGTGTCTTTATATTCCCTAGATTTTATTTTTATATTTCCCTAGATTTTATTTTTATATTTCCCAAGTTCTTCGTTTAAAAGAGAGATTTTAGCACACTACATTACATGTGACATTGAATAGATAATTTTCATTTTTCAAATAAATACCGGTTAAAATTTGTATTCCCAAATAAAATTCAATACCACCATCAACTATATTGTATAAAAAAAGAGTAGCAAATGCAATCATGAAAGCAGAGAATAGCTCCATTAATGGTAATTTCTACATAAAAAGTAACCACTTGGCTCAGAGAAGGGGAGTTCTATTTTCTGTGTTAGCCATCAGAATGAACTAGTCCTCAACTTGTTCAATTTCTCACTTAAATTCTATGTTGAATGATTTTGAGATTCAAATTTGTAAATCCCTCCATCGTCAAAGTATCAATACATTGGTGTTACATGAATAAAGCGCCAAACACTTAATTTACTGTCGCCGAAAGATTTGGATAATGACATGTTTTGACGATGGCATGCACGATGAATATAGTGAATCACCATTGATTTAGACGACTTTGTTCCAGCAACGTTCCCATGTTCCGAAGTTTGGCAATTGGGACAGTGACAATGTACCTTACACGGTCTATTTTGAGAATGCGCGCAAAGAGAAAACCACTGGTGTGAGAATGAATCCAAATGATCCCAAGGAGAATCCAGAGGCCTTCATGTTTCGAGAAGAGGGAAGCAAAAGTAATGGCGTTTCTCGTGCAGCTCAAGTTCCACTCCAAAGTGGTTCTGATAAGTTGACTTCAGCAGAAAAGCGCCGCGTAGAGGGACACAAGAAGCAAAGTGGTCATTGGAGAAACACTTCTGATCAACTAAAGACTGGGAGCCGTAAGAGCATGACTTCAGAATCCGGAAGCGATAAAAGCAATTCGGATCATTCACTCCTGCATCAAAACCACCGTGCTATGAGACCTGACCGGAAGAAGAGTGTAATCGAGGCTCATGGTAGCATTGTTCCATCACCACTTGGACCTGATAGACTGAGAAGTGGAATGAATCCTCCCGTCGAAAATGTAAGTTAAATTCTTTACTGGTATGACTTGCTCTGTTGATTTTTACCAATCTCAATCTTTTTTCTTTATGAAGAAGCTATTTTTCCAAATCCAAAGATGCCTTCTTATGTAGCGTTGAGAAATTTGTAGTCTAAGATGCTAAGATGGCTCAAGATAAAATTAGGAAATGAACTTGATTAATTCATATAGAAACCACTAGTCGACCTACATGTTTTTTGGTCACACATTCTTTTACAAGTCCTACCAGAATTGTTTTTGAGTGACCAAATTTCATACATTAAGGTAAAAAAGGAAGTTTGAATTGTGATGCATATGAATGTGGAGACTGTTAGATTATTATATTTCAATATTAATTAAATGTAAGTAATATACAAATAGTCGAATCAGTAAATGTTTGAGGACAGTTTGTGTATAGAATTGGGCATTCCTGCACTTCTTGTATATGGAACTTCCCCTTAGTCGCACAATTTCCGCGTAAATTCATCTTTGCAGCTATGATTTGTACTGTCTGATATCATAAATTCTATTCGGATGGCAGACTCGGAGATCAGCAGCGGTGCCCAAATTTGGGGCATGGGATGAAAGTGATCCTAAATCAGGAGAAGGTTTTACATTCATTTTCAACAAAGTAAAAGAGGAGAAACAAATTGCAGCTGCCAAGTTTCCCACCTCGCCCCCACAACCCGTTAATCATTCTAATAATCAGAAGAAAAATACCAAATCTAAGGTATGAATTTGTGGAGCTTTTGCCACATTATTTGACCTCCATGATTTACACTACCATGTATACTTTTTTTTTTTTCCCCCTTTTTTGCTTTTGGACATCACAATCATGACATTAAACTGAATATGCTAAATGCTCGGTGCTTCTTTAAGCAAGTGAAGATGATTTGAGAACTTATATACAACCATTTCCAGCTTGTTCTAGTGATATATCTTTTTTCAAATATATATATTGCTTTCATTTATATGCTATGTTTTTTCCATTTATTATAAGTGTTCTTTCTACTAATTTGCAGAGATGTTGCGGCCTGCTCTAAAGTGGAAGCGACTGATTCTTGTGGCTCTGCTTTGGCTTGAGGTTGAAAATTTATGTGCTGCATTCAGTGCTTTCTCTCTGTGTAACAAACAATCTCCTATTAAGATATTTATTTATTTTTATAATTCATATGTATAAATATTTCTATTCTTTTTCATACAATAATGAATGGATATTTGATGAAAGTGCCGATATGAATGGATATTTGATGAAAGTGTATTAAGGATTTTATTCTTTCAGTTGACCCAAAAAAAAAAAAGAGAGACCTTTTTGACAATGTTTGTTCACAGGCATGCACCAGGACTTGAATAACAGGGCAAATTTTCAATGCCAATTTATGTTTGTTTTGCCAGTAAGAGTTTGGGATACATTACAACACATACAAAAAGTTTTGAATGTTAATTAAAACTTGGATTGTAATCAAATTGCATTATTTTTCACTTAGCATGTGGGATAAAATAATCACAGTATGAGGAATGCCTAAAGCCTGAAATTTGGGATAAGAATTTATTCATGATCAAAAGATTTACAAATTTCAACCACCCAACCAATTTGGTCCCAAGGCAGATGCTTTTTCTTTCTTGCATGTGTTTCAATAGCTATTGCACTTTTTCATGGACTTTTCTGTGACACTGTTTGCTGATCACTTAATGAAACACTAATTCATGTGAGGTTTGCCCAGGATTTGAAATTCAAATCTTCATGCTCATTTTACTCATCCAAAAAAAAAAAAAAAAAAATTCTTCATGTTCTTTTTGATTAAAATTTAGATTGAAATTTATTATTTAATAAGTCGTAAATTCGGATGTCTTGAGTTCAACTCTTACAAAATGTAAAAATACACAGATTTAAATGATACGTATGATTCGCAGGTGGTTGTACATATTCAAAGTTTACCTTGCAAGTTGTAACCATAAGATCAAAGAGCTGATTGTTGGAAAGATTTTCCAATTTTGAAAAAAAAACTCGAATGGTTTTTAGAAGGATTCCCCATTTGCAGCGCAAAAAAAAAAAAAAAAAAAAAAAAAAAAAAAAAAAAGAAAGAAGGGTTTTGATACAATAAATTTATCTCCAAACCTTATTTAAAAGGTGTTATGTGGATCTTTTGGCATAAAAATGTGTACATTGAATGAACTTCTCGTATGTAGTGGATTCAAATTTATTTTAAAAAGTCCTTTCAAAGCGTTCAAATCAATAATGAACAAATCGATTGATAATAATACTCATTTATCGACATAAAGAAAATTTCTTCTTGTCACTATATTTCACGAGCCGCACTCTTGTACTTTCTGTTCAATTATTTGAATTGGACTGATCTTGTGAAATCCCATTATAGATGCCAGATTCCGAATTAGTATAACAAATAGGATGATCAACGGTGAAAACAATGTTGGACTAAAAGGCATATGCTCTATAGTTTTTAAATGTATCTATATTAAAATGGAAGTTTGTTTTTAGAGTAGTAATAATCTCACAGTTTAGTTTATGCTATCATTTTTCTTGTTTTTAAAGTAAAAAATTCAACTTACTAAACAATAAACAATGTGAATTGCAAAGCCAAATTAGAAAATGATGAGATGACAACATATGTTGAGCTTCAATCTTCTCTGCATCTGAATCCAAGCAACAGAATCGAAGCAAGGAGATGAAGAGATTTGAAGGCAAAGTTGCAATTGTGACGGCTTCCACTCAGGGCATTGGCTTCAGTATTGCTGAGCGCCTCGGCTTGGAAGGTGCCTCTGTTATTGTCTCATCTCGCAAACAGGTTCATTTCTGGCTCTCCCTTGTATTTCCATCCTTTCATTTCTCAAATCACACTGGAATTCAGGATTCACACACACAAACACATTTCAATGTGTTTGTGTAAACATGTTGTTTTATCATATATCTTTTCTGGGTGTCCCTCAAATTTCAATTTCTTTTTCCTTCTTTATTTCTGGGTGACTTTCTTTATGTATTCAGTATTCACAAACACTTATGTATTTATACATGTATATGTGTGTATAAACATGTATTTTTCATCCATCTTTTGTGGGTGATCCTCAAATTTTATTTTATTTTTTCGTTCTTTTTTTCTTGAAGAAAAATTAATCATTATTTCATTCGGGTTTCTCCAATTTCCCTCGAATTCATGTCGTATGATACTTAAAAGAGTGTGTGTGTGTGTTTTATTTTATGTAATGCATATTTTATATAGGGGTTTAGAGGTGGTGAGCTCATTTGTGATATGTTTTGATGGTTTTGAAGAACAATGTAAATGAGGCATTGAAGAAGCTTAAAGCTAGAGGAATTGAAGTGTTGGGAGTGGTTTGTCACGTGTCAAATGCAGAGCAAAGGAAGAATCTCATAGACAAGACTATTGAGGTCAGAAAATTAAGTTAATTTCTTATCTGTTAAGAGTATCCCAGGATTAAAAAATGATAAAATACCTGGTATTGATTGTGGTTCAAAAAGCAAAATGGTCCACAGAAGTGTTTAAGGTTTGTTAATGATTTATTATGTATAGCCCTCAATTTCATCTTGTAGTGCATGAGCTCAATGTCACTCCTGATACTAAATCATTTTTAAGTAGTGAATTAGGCTTTAAAACATTAATTAACCATGTTGGTAAAGAGTATGTAACTTGACACACAAAAAAGGGTCCAACTTCATCTAGATTCAAAATTGGAACTGCAGGCGACGCTTCAGTTACATTTGGAGTTATCAGAGAGAGAGAGAGAGAGATTTTAAATGGTGAATGAATTTTTCTTAAGTTGAAGTATTATTTGTATTAGAGGAAAAATAAATTAGAGTAGAGAAGCAAATAGCTTATTCTTCCTTCTTGGATAAGAATTCTGTGCCTTGAATGGTTTTCTGTGTCTAGATTTTTGTTATTGACAATTTGTTTTCCTTTGAATGGCTTTGATTAGTTTGTTAAGTGCAGTTCTATTTAGGGGTGGTAAAATGGGTCATGATTAACTAACCTGTTCATATTAATCCGTTTTAAAATATATATGGGTAAATCATTTTAAAATATGGATCAAAATGAATGACTCATATTCAAATGGGTTGAATATGAGTCACCCATTTTGACCCATATTTTACTGATTATATAAAAGACCCGGTTTCACTTCCTTTATTTGACTCAAATTCACCTCTTCTTTCTCACTAAAATTCTCTCACATGATTCCAAATTCTCTCTGTATCTCTTATTCTCTCTCTGCATCATCCTCTTTCTTTATCTAAAATTCATTGTAGTACTGTAATATTACTTTGCTAGATTCACATCACATATACAATGTATTCGTGTATATTCATTTAATTATTTATTCTATAAAAAGCTTAACAAATGATTTCATAATATATATATATATATATATATATATATATATCTTATCTTCATGCATGTCTTGTAACAACCTTAAACTGATACCATTAAAAAAAAAAAAAAAAAAAAAAAATTTGGCATGACCTCCCCTAAAAAGGGGCCTACAACCACCTGCTAAAAAAAAAAAAAAAAGCAATGGCCATTCCTGGCCTTTCAAGACATATACGACATGTCCCAACACATAATACAATTAATATATTTCAGCTTCCCATTCATCCATTCATTATATCTCAACATAGTTCAGTTTATGGTGGAATAACTATATGCTATTTAATCCAAATATCATAATTACAGTCCCAAAAATATAATTAAGTTAAAACGTCCATGTCTTACTACGTTTAGACAACTTATAATAAAATTACAGCCCATGAATATAACTATAATAGCAAGAATCCACAAATCTCTATACTAAATATATCAAACTAAGGTTTTACAAAAAATATGGGACTTAATTCAAAAATAGCAAAAAGGTCTTTTAATCCAAATTAGGCTTGTGGTAGTACGTCATCCGCCACTTCTTTTCCGTTTCCTGAAAAATGTTAAATATAAGGGTGAGCATAAGCTCAGTAGGAAGTGCCTAAAGCACATCTCTTGAGACTCCGTGAATCCACACCATGAATAGGAATAAGGAAATTGGGATCATACCATGCCGGAAAAAAAAAAAGAATATAAATAACCACAATACCACATCATTAATCCGATACCACAAATGAATATGACATGCCATGCCATGCAATGTCACTCCCCATTTTTCAAAACCATTTCCATCATCATTTTCAAACCGTTAGTGAACCCGTCCCATGGCAACTCCATGGCGGCACGAGGGGATGATTGGCTACTGTCCCTGACCCATGGCAACTCCATGGCGTCATTTGGGCCCAGGTAACTCAACCATACTAGGGCAATTTCCCTAATCCCCTCTAGGCTTCACTAACGCCGCGGTCCCTAGGCAATTCCTAGGCGGCCGGATTTTTCACAAAAATCATTTTCAAAATTCTTTTCCAAAATCCATTTTATTTCTTTCAAATCAATTTTTTTTTTTTTTTCCATTCTATCCCAATGATATGCATAGATGTCTCATGCTTCTCAATGCCATGTCAAATGAAAGATTTTTACAATTCACAAATCAACATAAGATTTTCATATTTCACAAATCAACACACTTCCACATAGCAAATTCTAACAAATTAATCATAATAGGCATGAAAATTTGATACTTAGACATGTTTTATACCATTCAAAAAAAAAAAAATTTCTAAAATTATATTTCATACTTTCTAATCACCAAACTAGCACTAAAAGCACAAAAAGATTGAATTAATCAACAATTTACATGTTTCATTATCATATATATCAAGCAACACATAGTCACAACTTGGCACAATACATATATAACAAAGTAAGAAATTTTCTACAAATTAAGCATGCTAATCATCAATAAAGTAGAGTAATTCACAAAAAGGCCCAAGAACATGTGAATTAGAACCCCTACCCCACTTTTATGCAAAACCCCCAATTTTTTCACCTCAAACCCTAGGATTTTTGAATCTCTTATAGTGCATCAACCAAGGAATTGCTTCTATCAACTTGTTGATCTCGTCGTGGGCTTCGAATAGCCGCAAACGGCTCTTAAAAACACTAAGAAATGAGGGAGAATTCAAGAGTGGAAGCTTGAAGTCAAAAAAAAAAAAAAAAAAAAAAGAAAAAAAGAACCGAGAGGAAGACAGAGATGGGAAAGAGAGCAGATGGAAAAACTAAGACCAAATGTGGTCTTACAACCACTTAAAAGGAGCGTGGGTCCCACCCTTTTTCCTTTTCTTTTCTCTTTTTTTTTTTCTTTTATTTTAAATTCTCACCACACACACAAATATATATACATACCATAATTACATGTATATATATATAAAGAAAACACAAGACATTTAAATGTCTAGTCATAAAATAAAATAATATAAATTTCAAAAGAAATTAGAGGATTTACTATTACACATACATCTTTTTACAAGATATATATATTATAATGAGATTATCCAAAATAATACGGTAACATTTTTTTCCCCTAAAACGGGTTGGTAGGTCATGACAAATTGAGCCGGTTCATTTTGACCCAACACATATTCAACCCGTTACAAGCGGGATGAATTTGGGTCACAATCCATATATTGACCCGTCATACATTGACTCGGCCCAAACCCGACACAACCCGCCTATTTACCACCCCTACAAAATATGATTAGTCACAATAAGCTTTATTGATTAAATTCGGAGTTTCATTATATTATTATACCGTATGTATAATGTGATTAATGTTACTAATGTGAGTAGGTCAATCAATAGTTTTTATCTATAGATGTCATTACACATAAACATTGCAATCAATTCACGAATATATATTTTGGTTAACCTAAACTCGATGTTAAATGATGACTTTTATTAGCTATATTTATATTTTTCTCATTAAAAAGTCTTATTTTTTTAATAGAAAATGATTACTCTGTACTACTCATTTAATTGTTCAAATATGCAATAAATAAGGAAGGGCTACTCTTTTAATTGGTGAAGTATACAACAAATAAGAATGTGGAGCTCTCCACTTAGTTGTACTTGGTATAAATAATCAATTAAAAATTATTCGGTTAGGCAAATCACTACAAGTGTTCGGTGTGAACCTACTCTTTTTTAACAGCATCGATAAATACACAAACACTGTACACATTTATGCTATGTTCGGTGTAGAGGAATGGAATGGAATGGAATACCCATTCCAACCATTCCTTTGTTTGGTATGCAACTTAAAGTGGGAATGACCATTCTATTGGAATGAAAATCCATTCCTGGGAATGAAAATCCATTCCACAACTAAACTTATGGAATGGCCATTCCATTCCCAAGTAATTTATTTTTAAAAATTGACTTCCCAAAACACCCTCATATTCCAAGTCCAAAAACCGCCATTACCTTCCATCACAATCATCTTCGCCTTTCACCACCACCACCACTACCACTGCCTTCCACCACCACCTTCACCATCGCCCACCACTTTCTACTGCCATCGCCTTCCACCACCACCATCGCCCACTACCACCGCCGCCGCCTTCCACCACCGCCACAGCCACCTTCACCGCCGTCGACTTTCACCATCGCCAACCACTTTCCACCACCACCGCCACCATTGCCTTTCACCACTGCCATAACCTTCCATCACCACCGCTACCGCCACCGCTTTTCACCACCGTTACCGCCACTGTTTGCTGCAACCACCACCACCGCCTTTCACCACCATTGTCTTTCACCATTGCTACCGCCACCACCTTCCACCATCACCATTGCCATTGCCTTTCACCACACACAACTGCCACCACATTCCACCACCACCACTACTACTGTCTTTCACTACCACCACCAGCTTCCACCACCGCCACCGCCACAGCTCACCACCGCCGCCGCCTTCCACCACAACTACAACCACCTTTCACCACCACCACCGCGGCCGCCGCCTTCCACAACCACCAACAATGCCGTCATCGCCTTCCACAACAGCCATTGTCCACCTTCCATCCCCACCACCATCGCCACTACCTTTCACCACCACCACTGTGATACCCCTCGGATCTGAGACACGGGTTGATCAGGCCCAGACCCAAACCCGAGGGAATATCAAACAATTAAAGTATTTTAAAACGAACACGGATGACAAAAATAAACAATAAAGATAGAATAAAGCTGAAAGAAAAATTATTTATAAAACCCTCCATGTAACTAAAAAATAAAACTCCAATCTTACAAAACTTCAAGGTTACAACTTGGGAATCCACGGATGGACCCCTAACCAACGATTCAACTGAAACTAAAAACTGAAAATAGATAACGCTAGAAACATCAAAAGAAGTCCTACGTAATCAGATAAATGTGAGACTGTCTTCGACAAGCACGATCAAGCTCTAAGGCTAGAACCGTCCTGTACCTGAAAAGAATAATAAAGGAGTGGATCAAACCC